GCACCACCACCACTAGCAGCTGCAGCAGTAGCACCACCATCAGTACCACCACCACCAGCAGCAGCAGCAGCAGCAGCAGCAGCAGCAGCAGCAACAACAACAACAACAACAACAACAACAACACCACCAGCAGCAGCAGCAGCAGCAGCAACAACATCAACAACAACCACAAAACAGCAGCAGAAACAGCAGTAGTAGCAGCAGCAACAACAGCAGCACGACCACCAGCACCAGCAGCGCCAACAACGATGGTAAAAACCCGACGTTGTTTTTCTGCGTTGTTGGCAGACGAGCTTCCGGTCTCCCCTGGGAGAGGGGAATTTCTCCGCGCGAGCCCCTTTTTGTCGTTTCTCAGAACTACCGTGGGCCCGTGCGTGCAGCCGATCCCCTCATTAACCCAGACGCGCATGTTTTGCTGCCCCCCTCCCCCTGCCGCCGCCGCCACCACACGAAGCGTTTACCGCGACAATTTGTCGGGTGATGGCGAGAAAAATGGGATAATTAGCGACAGCAGCCGATGAAAGGAGTAAGCGATTGCGCAATAGTCGGCCGGCTCCACAACGGGCGCGCAAAGTCGCGTTATATTAGATACAAGATAGATATATACAAACACATGTTTGTATCTATGGATATACGCCTGCCAATATATACAAAGTGATATATTATTTAGTAATACATATACAAATATATAACAATGTACCTATAGTTATGTATAAACACGCAACAATGTCATATTATGTAATAATATGGAAATATATAACAAATATTATTACATAGTATCAAGAGTAGATAATAGGGAATTCTATATCTAGGGAATATTATTATCTACTCCTGATAGTATTATTTTCCCAGAGCTGTCTCACTGAGCAATCTATAATTAGTCAAATTAATTTTTTATTGTTCCGTCACATTATAATTTATATTGTAACACGTTGGGATACGCAGCCCTGTAAGCATCCCACGAATATTGTTAGCAGCGATGAAAAGGATGCAAAAATCGGTTGCCGAGTAAAAAACTGCGCACGTCTTTCGAGCTACATGTTTTTTTAGGTATACAAAGCACGAGAGTAGAATGTTCTCTAATGCAACGCCCACGCGAGTGCATGTCACCGCCTGCCACAAGCGTATCCTCTCACGTACACTCGTCGGTTGCGTCTTTTTTTTCCGCCCAAACGTCGTGTTGGTGCGGAGACTGCGGACTCCTTTGCAGTTCTCACATCTCTGTATACACTCAACATTGAGGCCCGGCCCGTCCGCCCCGCGGCGGTTTACTATTTCGGCAGTCCGTTCCGCAGGCGTGCTATGGTGTGCACGCATACATTGAACTTGGCAGAGTGCGAGTGTACGCGATGCGCCGTACGTGCAGCACGTGCAACGCCGCGCTGCTCGGCAGTAGCAGTAGCAGCCGATAATTCGCAGAATTCGCGCATGCGCACCACGCGTCGATGACGCCACTGGTAAACAGTTCTGGGAAAGATGACTAATGCGGTATATATGCTGCGCTCGGCAACAAACTCGGCAGACGAACGAGCTAGAGAACGAACCTTTATCTAACTTTCCTGCAGAGCTGCCTCGCATTGAAGTAATTACTGTTTGCAAGCGAGCGTGAAGCTTGGAAACCATTTCTACATCGGATAACGCTAAACGTGAGTGAACGTTATATACACTTTTAGATTTATATGTTATGCTATATTTTATTACATGTGACGTGTGCAACGCCTGAATTTGTTAATTTATTAATTAATTTACAGTGATTAATTTGCGATTAATAATTAGTCAAGTTGTACGCGATGCGACACAATGAGCAAATACTCGGTATTTTACTAATTAACTAGTTGGGAAAGTCTGAACTAATTCTGGGGAAATAACTGGCGATTTCTGAAGTAATTAATACGGTGTGCAGGTATTTAAGACGTAACACTCTCCGTTTCTGGAGGTTTCTGGATAGTTTTCTGTCTACCCGAGAAACCGATCGATTATTTCGCGCGTCTCTGTAAAGATCAATAGCATGCCGAACTTCCTCCGCTGTCAACAATGTTGGCGCGCATGCGCAAACCATTGCCAAACTGCACGCGCGGGTGGCCAAAAGTGACGTATCCGGCTAAAAATAGACATGTGCGTAGTGACGTGTTTGCGTGCGGATGAGCGCGCGATGGCGTGGGCGATGGAATGCACGCCTACAATGATGATGTCGCTCCTATCAGCGTTTGTTCGGGTCACTTCGGGCGCGGCCCGCATAATACAGTCGACTACCCTGTTTCAGTTGGTTGTCGCTGGGGATGGGCGTGTTTACGCACACTAGATTTCTATTGTTACTGATGAATGCAGACTGCCACCGCGGGCAATTCTTATCTAAATGCGGCCATTCTTCTCGCACAGGTTGTTGATAGGCTGACGTCAGGGTGACGTCACGGTTTAGTCATCACGTGGCCAGGTGACGTCATTGTTGTGCTACATAAACACGCAGAGGACTAGAGCCAGAAAGATATTGCAACGAAACGTCGTAGAGAGAACACCTACAACTGAGAAAGCTAACAACATGATATTAGACAGTGATAGCATTGAGGTGAGTCATGAGTTTGTGAGTTAATTACCATATATCAGTGGTCGACTGCATTGAGTCACCACGAGTTGTAACTAATAGCAAGAGTAGATAATATAACTGCATGTGTTATTCACTTATTGTTATTATCTACTCTTGCTAATAGTAATAGTAATACTAATCGGGTAATCCTCTCCTTATAAATATAAGTTATAATAGCCTAGCTCTCCTTATATAGTCACACCTCCATTCGGAACTTACCTGGCAATGATTGTTCAATCTTATCTTTCATGGATGAAGATATAGCTAGATCAGTATTATATTTTTTATGATAATTGTAAACGATATACGGTGCTGTTGAATTTGTTTCAATTGTACACTTATCACTTCTTTTCCACTGCCAGTATAGACATAGCATATCATGGATGATTGAACCATGCACCTTCCACGCACATAAAGTTTGCCGATGTCTAACTATAGCCAAATAGAACAGAAAGCTCCACGAAACCCACACAATATAACTTATACTTATAGTCTCTCGTCTTCTGCTTCAGCTTTCGGAGCTGCTGTCGTACGGCGGATACTCGGACTCCGGCCTGCTGACGATGCCGCAGGTGACCGACGGCAAGGCAGTCGCGACTCCCGTGAGCTGCGACGACGACGCCGCGTACGTGCCCGACCTCGACGCCGTGCTGAATCTTGACGACTACGTAGACTGCTACGCGTCAGCGTACCTCACGCCCGCCGCGAAGGAAGACTCCTTCACCCACTTCAAGGTGAAGAAGGAGGAGGCGGCAGAGGAGGAGGAGGAGTTTGGAGCTGACATGCTGCGCATGAAGAGGGAGGTCGTGGACGAGGTCGGGTGCCTGGCCGTGTCGGCAGCGGTGAAGGACATTGAGACGGCATGCGACATCCTTGACATTCATCCAGGTGAGAAGCGTGATCGGTGGCGGTGTACGCGCTGCGCTCGTAGCGTGCGATTTTTAATGTGCGAGGTTGGGGTATCTTAATTGTTACAGGCACTGCATGGTGGGCTTTGGCAGAATTACTTAACGAAATTTGGAAGTTTATGGGGTTGGTGTTTAATGAGATCTCTTGTCCTGGTTGCAGATCCTTATGTGTGGACGGTTGGTGACGTGTGCAAGTGGCTGCAGTGGACGGCTCACCACTACAACCTGCCCATCGTGCAGTTGGACAACTTCTACATGAGTGGCGCCACCTTGTGCTCGCTGACCGAGGAGCAGTTCAAGCAGTATGCTCCGGACTTTGGCACCGTCTGCTACGCCGAGCTCGACATTTGGAAGAGTGGTGAGCATGCATTCCGTTCTCTCTTCTATCCGTGTCGTGCTCACACAACGAATTCGTACGTGGGTGCAACGACCTTAACCATTTTGGACATTGCATGTCACAGCAGTATTTCTTCTTCAAAATGTGTAAAGTCGAGCATATTTGCTCTCGTGCGACTTGGAGCCGAGTAGATAATAAGCAGTAGCAGCAGTATGTGTTGTCTAACCAAGTCTGTCTTTGGTCATTGCAGCGTCCGTGTACACGAAGCAGCCACAGTCTCTGACCGTCATGCCAGCGGCGATGGAGACGAGCTACATGGACATGTCCACGCTCATCGACCAGTGGGCGTGCGGAGCCGCGAGTCCTAGTCGCTCCAGCGAGGTCTCCAGCGAACACAGCGTCGAGATCCTCAGCGACAGCGAGACGGAAGAAGCGCCCCCTAGCAACGTGCAGCGTCACAGCACGACGATCCACCTGTGGCAGTTCCTCAAGTCGCTTCTGAGCGATCCGGCGAAATACGGAGCCGCGATTCGCTGGGTGGATCGACCCCGAGGTCAGTATAGTCTGCCGTCATGTGGACGATAACAACCAGAGAGATTTTAGAGTGATAGTCTGCCATGTTGTTGTGGCAACTGTTCTGACAAGTTGGGTTGACCTGGCTTTGTTGTCAAGCTAAATAAAGTTGCGGGGGCTTGCCTAACAGGTCAAGCTTTTTTTAGTATAATATACTAAAATAAAATTACTATTAATATAATCATGGCACCCAATAAACCAATTATAAGATAACCTAGAGAGAGAGAGAGAGAGAGAGAGAGAGGTGCTCCAATTCTTTCACATCTGGTCCGTTTCTATGACGATCACAGTCGATTCACTAGTCAATCAATCTAACAGGTGCAAAACTTGTTTCCGACAGGTATATTCAAGATTGAGGATTCGACGGCGGTGGCGAAAGCGTGGGGTCAGCGTAAGAACCGACCGGCAATGAACTACGACAAGATGAGTCGCTCACTGCGGCAGTACTACAAGAAGGGCATCCTGAAGAAGACTGAACGTTCACAGCGCCTTGTCTACCAGTTCTGCCCGGCCTACCGCATGTAGTGTCGCCCCCTAACAGACAGCGCCAACATTCCCAATGCGTTCCCCTGTAACTCAACGCGGTGCTGCGTCGCTGAGGGCGCGCCTCTTGTCTGATCGCTTACAACCGGTCGCCAGTTTGTGGTTTGCCGGCTGGCGAATGAGAACGAGAGGCGTCAGGGTGGTGAAGTGAAATGTCACAGAAAGCAGGATGTAAAAGTTGGCCACTGGTTCGTTTGCATGAGCTCTGATTTGTTTAGCGAGTCTGTAGAATGGGCTGGATCCCAGTCGCTATGCAATCTGTAAAGTGTACATATCGTTATTTATTTTCTACCACTGTTTTTTTTTGCCAAAGCGGTGCATATACTTCCCAGTAGTGGTGGATCACCGTGTATAGTTGTTGTTGTTATTATGAAATTTGATAAAGTTAGTAAAAGTAGCTATTTTTGATAGCCTCGTTGCCGTTGCAAGAAGGCACAAGCCAGCCACAAGAATACTAAATGGTGTCTGTGGAAATAAAACCTAAATCTTATGTCTATATCTATGATAATGCCCAAGTATGTTCTGTGAACAAATGGTAATATACCTATTCAAACTATTAACTTTTATTTAAGCCTATAACCCCAAAACAAATTATTCATATACATCCAGTGCTTTCCTATACCAGAAGCATAATATAGATCTTCCACTAATTCGACTAGTTTTGCTATGAATTTTGTATTTGTGATGTCTAATATTTAACTGAGTTTCTGCCGAGTGCGTGTGCCAACTAGCAAGGCATCAACTTTGACGAAATGACTGAAACCGGATGTCCGCGTGTAATATGCAAGTTGAATACGTAGAGTGATAAGTTTGTGAAAGAATTTTCTGTTGACGAGAGTATATGGATGGGATATCCCATTACTGGATTTTAACTTTTGTACTTCAAGTGTACATATATATGTATAATATATATGATCAGGATATTAATAAAAAGTATTATTTATATATAAGTTCAGGTTATTCATTACTTATTTCCATATTTAATGCTCAAGAAAGACAAAAATTCGCTTTTTAAGAACTTAAAATAACCCTTGTATGAAACACTGCGTTAGGTTTATAACAATGCAACAAAAAACGCACGAACATTGATAATTGCGTATAAAGTAATCTCATTTCGCATAGCGCTCGTATTTTACATGTGAAAATCAATAAATGGCAAAACAATCAAACAGTATAACAATAATTTACGGCATTATTAGTTTGATCATGTCGTTTCACGACCCTGTGCATGGTTTGCTATGTATGAGCTAAAACAGTATGCCTATATAAAACGTGGAAACTACGATGTAAAATGTGGACCATCGCCGATATTATCGCCATGATTAACAGTGATATAGACTGAGATATGCCTCCCGTAGATTCTGCTTCTTCAATTCACGGGCTGTGAGTAGCTGTGAATGAAAAAGGGCGATTGTTAAATAAATAATTAGAAATAGTAGCGTTCTACATCGTGCAGTCAATCCCCAAACTGCACAATGTATACGTACGTACAGTCGTACACGTGTACAAACGCACAGATACGCACGAACGCACAGAGGGAAATTATTAAGGTTATTGTTATGTACGTCGAAAGGAGTCAATAAAAAATATTTGTTTGTTATAATTCACACCTAGTGTCACATAGTCAGTGACTGACATTTCTCACTTAGAAACGAATTAATGGGGTACGCTAGGTGGCGCCACTTACTTTGATAGCAGCCGACGTTCCCTGGTGATCGTGCATGAAGCGGCAGTCGCGTACTTTCTTGAATGCCTGCAGGTGGCTGCGTGGCAATGAATCATAGGGGAACGTATATATTATATCAAGAGTACATAATAGAGATTATGTATCTCTATTATGTACTCTTGATTATAGCTCAAGGGGTCGTTGTCGTAACAGGTACTACAGATATGTACCCGAGGTACATATATGTATACACAAAGTGTACCAGACTTGTACTACAGAAGTGTACCCTAACCCTAACAGTAACACTAACCCTAACCCTAACCCTAACTCTAACCCTAACCCTAAACATACCGCATATAAAAATATAAACATAATACTAAACAACCTAAAACTACCTCGGGTACATATCTGTAGTACCTGTTACGACAACGACCCTTCGTGCTTGATTATACGCTACTACGCACCTCACGATCAACACCAATTAACATTTCTCTACCTACACATTACAATATCGAGAACAAAAGTGTATACCATTTGTGAAACGGGCGTGAAATACAGGAAAATCACTTCAAATCCGAATTATTTATACATATACATAGCATGGCAAGCAACATCCGTGTATACTCACCTCCCCGCGTATCTCTCTCCGTATCTCAAGTGAAATTCAAAGCACTGTCTACACAGGACCTCTCTCCTGTAGCAGTAGTAGTCTCCCACGGGCCTTGCTCTGCAGACGTCACACTTAAACAGAGCGAGAGCTTCAGGTCAATTATAATCTATGTTACCGTGCGCTTCAGCAATACGTCCACTCATTTTTATTACATATGCGATATTTTCCCCTTTCCTTTTCCGTTCCCTTTACCCTTCCCTTTCTTTTCCCTTTCCCTTTTAGAAAATAGTCAAAATACTCCCCGTGTGTATTAAGCGCATAAAAAAACTCCGCGGACAAAGTCGGACCTCATCTATGTATATAAACGGGACCCTAGTACGAAAACGTTTTACCATCAATCGAGAACAAACGTGCATAGTACTAGGAGTAGGTATAACATTATGTGTCAATGTAGCAATTGCGATGTATATGTGCATGCGTATGTGCGCGCCTGCCCTGCGTGCGTGCGTCTGTGTTTTATAATGTGTGCACATATGGCTTGTAAATCTTTCTTGCAAACTTTTAGGCTAACACAACCACGAGTGCCAAGAATTGATTTGGCACAAACAATTTTCTAGATATGCGATCTTTATCTATTTTTTTTATAAAGGTGTTACGATTAGTAGGTACGATAAATGCTTCGGCGCATACCCGCTCATGGACGCACCGGCACACGCACGCACGCAAGCGGGGGGTACGCGCGTACAGACACACGCCAGCATACGAACGTACGCAAGCGGGGTTACACGCACGCCAGCACACGCACGCACGCTGACGATGGCGCACATACCTTATCGTCGTTGTTGGTGGTACACTTGATTAAGACTGTGGCTCTGAGAGTCTGCTGTCCTGTGAACGATCCATGGAAACTCAGCCTACGGTTCTGCCTAACTTCGTGCTCGTACGTTCCCGGCCTGCAAGCAACCACGGATTATTATTATTATTATTAAATCATTATTGCATGTGAATCAAATACAAATACATGTACTGAAGACTGAATAAAAAATCTGATAGATGCAATAAAATAGTATGGATGGTCACCAACGGATGCGTGGATGACCACAGGGACCAGGGCGCATTCAATTATTGGAGAGAACGAGTGGTACTTACACATAGACAGCTAATATATGAGCACAAGAACGACGCTAGATCACCACGAGAAAATTTCATTAATAATAATAGTTAATAACGACATAATAGTTTTATTGATTACGATTTTAAGTAGCCATTTCGTTAGTTAAGTTAGCCATTTCGTTAACCATTTCGTTTTTTTTAAAGCCATTTGTGATACAATGTTGAAATCGACACCACGGTGAAAGGAAACAAATTGGGACGAAACGACACGTCTCTCTGCGCGAGACCAGCAGGTGTACATCTCATATACTTACTTCAGAAATAAGACTTACCCCGGCAGTGAATGTGAGCGCACCAAAGGAAACCTCGACGATCCGGACAGGAAGGGTTTCTTCGCTGGCTGGCTCTTGATAACCTCGGTGCGGTCCTTCTGATACAAGCATGGCGACGGAGACGGCAACTCCTACGGACGGATTACGAATTAAACCGTGATATAGTGAGACTGACGTTGTAGTGTTGTGAAAGCACAGTTCCATATTGCGACATAGAGACAGATTGCGAGGAAGATTCACGGGCACCTCCCCACAATATCCTTGCAATAAATGTTTAGGCACCTACCTACAATATCATGATAACTATATGAAATCAATCGTGCCGCTAAATGAAACGCGCATAACTATATAATATATATATCTACATAACTTTAACTATATAACTATAACTATAACTATAATTCTAACTACATGGTTCATACAGGCGGACTGAAAAATTTTTCAAGGACTTTTCAAGAACATTTTATCGGAAATTCAAAGACAATTTATCGGACATTTTATCGAAATTCATACACAGAACAAAACATACCTGGATTAATTTAATAATAACTCCATTCTTAATCACTGTCATCTCTAAAACTTACCTGGATCACATTAATAAACCCTTCTAAACACTGTCACTTCTACAACATACCTTGATTTACTGACTGATTTTAATGACTTACTGTAATTTGTGATCATCATTTAATCGTCTAACGTGTCTATGGCTTTTTAAGCTAATTTAACGCAATTTTTATAGAGGTTTGCACATTATTGATGGTACAAAATTTCTTTTTATTACAGGCAAGGATTCTTTCCAAAAATTCAAGGACATTTTCATGAAATTCAAGGACTTTTCAAGCACAAAATCAACATTTACTAAATTCAAGGACATTTTCATGAAATTCAAGGACTTTTCAAGCACAAAATCAACATTTACTAAATTCAAGTACTTTTCAAGGACTCCCCTCAAATTCAAGGACTTTTCAAGGACTGTGCGAACCATGAACTAATAACCTCAACACCAGGCCCGTAGCCGGGGGGGGGAGAGGTTTGGGGGGTTGCACGGACCCCCCCCGAGCCCCTTCCCCAAGCAAAACAAAAAATTTGCAAGAATTTCACCTTTTTCATTTTAGTGTAATAATTGCAAAATCTCCATCCCACACTCCAGACACCCCCCTCCCATTCCCTCCCCCTGCTCGGTCGCTATGCTCCCTCGCTTCGCTGACTTCGCGCCCTCACAAATTGCCAACATTTAAAAACAAACCCCCCCCCCATATAAAGCTGGCTACGGGCCTGAACACTATTGCATTTATCAGATTTTTTCTTCATGAAAGACTGTCTTAAGTACATGTATTTGTATTTGAGTTACATGCAATAAAGATTTAATAATAATAATAATAATAACTATATAACTATAACAACATAACTATATAATAACGTACTTTGCAGTTTATCGCAAGTCGTGGTCCAGTACGAGCAGCCAATGAGTAGCCCTTCTTACTAGTGATGTGTTTATCTGCCTCGTATACAAACGAGCTGACCTAAATATACAGCAATGTTGATAATATGTATGGTAAAATAGCAAATTATAGCAATTGCTCCAAAAATTGCGCATTACTAGAAGTTTACATTACTAACTAGTCTATTTCATAATGATAAAAATAATAATTATTTTTATTTTTACTACTGACTTACTACTACTACTACTACTATATATATATATATATATACTACTGCTCATAGGGTCTATGTCCCCCAGGGTACTGCCGGAACGTACCCTGGTAACTATCTGATATGGTTAGGGTTAGGGTTAGGGTTAGGGAGTAGGCGTAGGCGACTCTCTAGACTCGTTAGTGGAGTAGACGAGGTACGGTCCGAGGTAACGCATATTAGATAGTACCAGGGTACGTTCCGGCAGTACCCTGGGGGACATAGACCCTATGAGCACTACTACTAAGTACTACTTCTTCTTCTTCTACTACTACTACTATATACTACTACTACTACTACTACTACTACGACTACTACTACTATATAAACTATACAAACAATGTAATATATAACTATATAATAATATACTAATGGATGTGCGCACCACGTGGTTATTGTAGCTACCGGGTCCTCTATTCGGTTCCCCGCGAAGATCCAAGAAGATACCAGCTTTTGTTGGTGGCAATTTCGTTGGCAGTAGTTGCCTATCTAATGTTGTGCCAAACGAAACTAGAATAAATGAAAAATGCTCATTCATCATCTATAGTGACCTCTACTTGTAGTAGTAATGATATGTACCACATTAAACAACGTTGTTCATAAAATTCTAACAGACGCTACCGATGTTAATGTACTATTTCAGTATTTGTCACTCGGTTAGTTGTCCCGGTTAGCCCCGAAAACCTACAAACGTTGTAACAGAAATTGTTACTTCATCAATATATATATAAACACTAGAAAGATATTCATATCCTTTACATATATAGCACGATAGCATTGTGTTATTATAAATATTTCATATAAAGTGATATCTCCCAGCTATTATAATTCATTTATAGGGGGGATAGCTGACTTTATGACTTCGATCGTGCATGGCAGTGCGGCTGAAGGGTTCATTGTCGTATCAGGTACTACATTATACATAGTACCAGGAGTAGATAATAGGGAATTCCCTATTATCTACTCCTGATAGTACATATATATACCTAGATACAATAATGTAACCCAAACCCAGGATAGGGGTTGGGTTTGGGTTACATTCTACCATCCCACCTCCTGGGGTTACATCCACCCCCTATCCTGGGTTTTGGGTTACATTATTGTATCTAATATGTAACCGAGGTATACACAAAGTGTACCAGACTTGTACTACTACTATTTACAGAAGTGTACCCTAACCCTAACCCTAACCCTAAACATACCTCATATAAAAATATAAACCTAATACCAAGAATAGATAATAGGAGTGTTTCACGTGACGTCATAGATCAGGTCACGTGTATTTGTTATGCGTCATGATTGGCAGAAGCGAAGCGTGCTGCTTGACATTTACAGATGAATGACCCACATGTTCTGATAGAAAGCGCTGTTTATGTAGTGCACGTACATGTGCGTGCACGTACGTGCATGCGTGCGTGTGTGCGTGCGTGCGTGTGAACTTACACGTGCGTGCGTGTACACGTACACGTGCGTGCGTGCGTGTGCACGTACACGTGCGTGCATGCGTGCGTGTGCGTGCGTGTGCACGTACACGTGCGGGCATGCGTGCATGCGTGTGTGTGTGTGTGCGTGCGTGCGTGTGCAGGTACACGTGTGTGCATGAGTGCGTTGGTGCGTACGTGCGTGTGTGTACAGGTACACATGCGTGCGTGCATGCATGTGCACGTAGACGTTCGTGCGTGCGTGCGTGCGTGCGTGTGCACGTACACCTGCGTGCATGCATGCGTGCGTGTGTATGTAAATGTGCGTGCATGCGTGCGTATGTGCGTGCGTGTGTGCGTGCGTGCGTTTGGATGTACACGTGCGCGCGTGTGTACCTGCATATGCACGTACACATGCGTGCATGCGTGCGTGCGTGTGCACGTACACGTGCGTGCATGCGTGAGTGCGTACGTGTGCAGGTACACGTGTGTGCATGCGCGCGTGCGTTTAGATGTACACGTGCGCGCGTGCGTACCTGCATATGCACGTACACATGCGTGCGTGCGTGCGTGCATGCGTGCGTGCGGGTGCACGTACACGTGAGTGCATGCGTGTGCACGTACGCGTGCGTGCATGCGTGCGTGCGTGAATGTGCCCGTACACGTGCGTGCGTGCGTGCGTGCGTACGTGAATGTGCACGTACACGTGCGTGCGTGCGTGTGTAAATACACGTGCGTGCATGCGTGCGTGTGCACGAACACGTGCGTGCATGCGTGCCTGCGTGCGTGTGCACGTACACGTGCGTACATGCGTGCCTGCGTGCGTGTGCACGTACACGTGCGTGCGTGTGTGCGCGCGTGTGCAGGTACACGTTCGTGCGTTCGTGCGTGCGTGCGTGCGTGTGCCCGTACACGTGCGTGCATGAGTGTGTGCGTGCGTGCGTGCGTGAATGTGCACGTACACGTGCGTGCGTGCGTGTGTAAATGCACGTGCGTGCGTGTGTAAATGCACGTGCGTGCATGCGTGCGTGTGCACGTACACGTGCGTGCATGCGTGCCTGCGTGCGTGTGCACGTACACGTGCGTGCGTGCGTGCGTGTGTACGCGCGTGTGCAGGTACACGTTCGTGCGTGCGTGCGTGCGTGCGTGTGCACGCGCGTGAGCAGGTACACGTTCGTGCGCGCGTGCGAGCGTGCGTGTGCACGTATACGTGCGTGCATGAGTGTGTGCGTGCGTGCGTGCGTGTGCACGTACACGTGCGTGCATGAGTGTGTGCGTGCGTGCGTGCGTGTGTGCACGCGTGTGCATGTGCACGTCGTGGCGTTGTGCGTGCGTGCGCACCGTACATCCTCTGGAATAGTGTGGTGCCGTCAGGCGTGCGTGCGTGCGTGCGTGTGAAACATCTGAAATGTCAAAGACGACAGCGAGATACCTCAAACGCGCCACACAACAGGTCGAGTGTTACGGACAGCTGAACACTCAAACTGCCGAGCGCTGAGTCTACACACGATTCCCGTTTGTGCTATGGATGTACAAGCTCGTCAACGGCATGGTCAACCTTGGATACCAACAACACTGATACACCTACGTTCGAACACCAGGAACACTGTCAGAGCACTTTTTCTTAAAACCCATTCCTGGCAGATGAACACAGAAAGGCCCCTTCTTCCCAGGCTATTACAACGCTGAACGCAACCCACGAAAGTGTGACAGCCGAAAATCTAATTCTTTAAAAGTCTCTGATACTGCTAAACACACAGGGCAGTTTCTTTAAGTAAAATTGCTTTTGTTTTTTTTCTTTAGAAAAGTCAAGGAAGATATTATTTTAGTCTCAACTAGCCCTCCGTTGGCATAACATCAGTATTTATGGCCCAATATAGCCGTAAGAATAAGATAGAAGGGAACTTACTACGTGGCGTGCCATGCGGTGCGTGCGGTACCGTTGCGCACATACACGTGCGTGCGTGCGTGGTGCCGCGGCAGGTACTCGGCTGCGGCGCGTCGCACGTACAGTCGCATGCGTTCTGCGGCGTGTGCACGTACACGGGGTGTGTTGCCGCGTGTACAGTACACGTCGTGCGTTCGCGCGTGGTTGCGCCCACGTAACACGTTCGTAGCATAGTGTGGCGTGCGTGCGTGGTTGAACTTACACGTCGGCAGCGTGCTTGCGTCGTGAGGTGCACGTACACGTGCGTGCTGCTGCGCGAGCGTGTGTTCGCGCGGTGCAGGTACACGTTTTGGCGTGACGTGACGGCGGTGTGCTGTGCAGTAACACGTGGTGCAGTTGTGCGTGACGTCGTGCGTGCGTACGTGGCTGTGTGCAGGTACACGTCGTGCGTTGCGGCAGCGCGTGCGGCATGCCATGCATGTCAACGTAACGTGCGTGCGTGCGTGTGACGTACACGTGGTAGCGTGCTGCGGTGCTGTATCGAACCAATATCACCATCCTGCTTGCTGCCAACCGTTAAACTGCGCATGTGCGCATATGACGTCAATGTTTATCAACATTAAACGCTCCTATAGAATAACGGATTATTCTCCGGCTATTATGCTTTTAGTTTTATAGTTACTATCTATGCCGTATGCGTGCATGGCCATGGTCCTCCGCTACCACATCACTTTGGTTATATTTTCGATACTATGCAATTAATTTATGCCATTATGGTGATAAATAAATCTTGAAATGATTTGAATTAGATTAAATTAATTCGCATCGAATTGAACTGAATTGAATATAGGATAGTTACGCGCAAGTATGACCATATATATATATATATATATATATATACAACACATGTGTTGTATATATCTATAATATGACCGACGGGCTGCGTGCCTTGCGTCACGTGCGCGTAACGGTAATGCTTGATAAATTTACTCTTGTCTTGATATTTCTGAAGCAGCTGACCTTGTACATTTGGCTCTTTTCCTGCCTGCATGATTCTTCTCGTTCTATTAGTTCATATCATTATCACAAGTTTATGTAATGTTTAACATTACACTCTTCAAGTTATGTCTGCAAACTTTATTATTGATTTAAAACTAAAGCGAATGCCAACTATTTTTGTCTGCTACGTTGCTATGATGTAATGCAGTGGCGACATCTATTTCAATTTTAATAACTTGAGCATTTCAGTATGTCAGCCTCCATAGCGAATCTATCTGGGAAGGCGTTTGTTTACAGAATTATTTAATAGATATTATGATTATCATGCGAAGATGGTAATATCTATTTGAAGGACTGAGTATAAAAGGTATTGTGTGAGGGTGATTAAAGTCTGTTTCTGTTGTAGTACGTTGCAGTATCCAAATTTGGCATCGAGGCAACGCCAACGGGCTATAGCTAGCCATGGGGTGTGACATAGCTTGGGTAAAGCCAGGTAGTTTAGCCTTTTTTTTTTAGCCAAAAGGCACTGAGGGTGGGCACAGCCAGAGTTTTTTTGGCACCCTCAGTGGTTCTTTTACGTCCCCATTGACCTTAGTATTACTGGAGACGGGACCGCCATTTTACGTGGTCATCCGAGCCACGGCACGGGAGATTCACAGTCTCCAGACTCCAATGTTGAGAGCCAGGTTTTTACACCTTGAGAAAATTCACTGACCCGGCCGGGGTTTGAACTCACAGCCTTCAGTGGACAGTGTACGAGGCCTAACCACTGGGCCACGGAGGCTCTTTAATTGTCAAATTGAAACTTTCTAATGGAATTCGGAAACCGCACTCCGCAGTGTTGATCTGATCTTTCGACTTCTTCTTCTTCACCTCGGTATGGTCCAAGCTAGACCGAATAATTCTGTCCCATATAACCTTTTTTATATTTTGGTGAGGGTTATTGGGACAGAACGGGGCTCATTGAAATTTCGTGAGATCGCATGCAAAATGCATGCGCTGCGAATGCGGCCCGTACGCCGCTATTGGTGCGAAAAAAAACCTACCGTTCCCTTCTACATGGCTTTACCTTGCTACTGATATGTGTATACATTCACTTCAATCGTTATTCACTTCTTAAAAGATTGTTTTTCATAAACCCCGCTTCGTTCCACTTTCCTAAATTACATCGCCATTTACAAACAATCAGACCAATCAGAGCGAGTCTTACAATAGCCCCTGGTTCTCGCTTGTATCTGTGGTGCTGTAGGAGGGCTGATAGACTCGCTCTGATTGGTCTGATTGTTTGTAAATGGTGCACGTAATTTACAAAAGTTAAATGACGCGGTTTTCTGAAAAACAATCTTTTAAAAAGTGAATAACGATTGAAGTGAATGTATACAAATATCAGTAACAAGGTAAAGCCATGTAGAAGGGAACGGTAGGTTTTTTTTCGCGCCAATAGCGGCGTACGGGCCGCATTCGCAGCGCATGCATTTTGCATGCGATCTCACGAAATTTCAATGAGCCTCGTTCTGTCCCAATAACCCTCACCAAAATATAAAAAAGGTTATATGGGACAGAATTATTCGGTCTAGGTCCAAGCTTGTTATATATATACAAGTTATTGCGTAAAATGCTAAGTTAACACATGTTTCACCCAACTATTGTACTCTACGATAAAAGGCCTTCCATTTCTAGTATAGAAAATGCGGAATAGGTGGAATGTGGTGGTGCCACTGCCGCTGAGAGGGTCTATATCCCCCAGACCCAGGTTACTGCCGGAACGTACCCTGGTTACGGTCCGGTATACCGGAACGTACCCTGGAGTGGTGCTATCTAATATGCCGGACCGTACCTCGCCTACTCCACTAACGAGTCTAGGGAGTCGCCTACTCCCTAACCCCAAACCTAACCCTAACCCTAATCCTAACCCTAACCATATCAAATACTGAAATAGTGACCAGGGTACGTTCCGGCAGTACCCTGGGGGACATAGACTCTATGTGCGCCACTGCCTGGTGAGTGGTGGCACTGGTGCACTGGTTCATTAGTTAGGCCGTGTGCAGGGTGTAACAGATAACCAATTCCTCATTATGCACGCTACGCTGCCATCTTTTTATTTCTAGCACAAAAATCTGGTCCCTCGCCTTAAAACTATTGTTTTCTATATTCACACAGAAGGCACCCACACAGAATTAAGGTGTCGGTATGATGTATCATATGCCCTGGGTCCTGAAACACAGTCACTGTGTCATACCAGTAAAACTTTTCTGTCCACAATAAGTTATTATGCAGCATAGTCTTGATCTGTGATCATTGTATATGTTTTATTATGTAGCTTACAAAATGGCAGCAAGCTCAGAAAGTGTGTTGCTCTACATCAGCAATGTAAGATGTAAGAAGGTGGAAGGCACTCTGTATATCTTTGAGACGAGGATGGCCTGGCAGCAATCCAGCAAAGATATCTTCAGCATTAGTCACAATTATGCTGATATTAAAAGTAAGTGGTCAGTTTTCTATCTCATTCTCATACAGAATTTTATCGTAGCAACTTAGATTTTTCCAACCTGAGACTGGATGAGAAATGAATAATTCTAAATTTTTTTTTCAGTGCAAAAGATTTCTCCTGAAGGCAAGTCTAAAGTGCAGCTCCAGATCGTGTTGCACGATGGTGGCTCAACAACGTTCCATTTTAATAATCCTGGTAAGCACACCTACAATTTTATACATTTAATTTTTATGCTGTTGATGTAATTGCTTCTATAGGGCCAAATTTATAGTAGTGTAATGATGAGCTCTTCCCAAATCATTCCAAATTCCATTATGTAGGTACTAATGAGAATCTTTGCATACGATACATGATTGTGTTCAGTATGTGTAGGTTCCACCTAATTTTACATACTGTTAATGCCACGTGTGTGGTGACAAGATCATGATAACTCTTGCGAGTGCTTTAAAATTGTGTTTGCATTTACAGAAGGAGAACAGGCTCAGAGAAAGGACAGAAATGAAGTCAAGGAGTTACTCATACAGCTTCTGCCAAGATTCAAATTAAAAGTGAACAAAGAACTTGAGGAGAAAAACAGGTAATTGAAAACCCAACTCAAAGGCATTAGTATATTTTCTAATGAGCGATATCAGAAATATACACCTATGATAAGCCATAACTAGAATTTTGCAATTGTCTTGGATTAATAAACTTTCATGTTGAACACTGGGATACAAGTTAAATTTCACGTATCATCCTCCTTATTATATAGAACGTAAGAGTAATTGTGATAACTTATTTCAAAAAAGCTAAAAACTGTTTAACATGTGTTTGCGACTTTTGATTTTTTTGTCTTGTATTCTATGTTTCAGGAAATTACAGGAGGATCCTGAACTTTTTAAGCTCTACATGGATCTCGTTGTCAGTCAGGTCCTAACGGCTGATGAATTCTGGGCAAATATTGCAAATGTGAGACCATCAATATTGTATAATCGCACGTAGAGTTCACTATGCTGCCATGAATGCCTGGTTACTCAAATATTTGTTCATTGCATTGCTATGTTATGCTATCTATATTCATGACTAAAATTGATCAAAATGACCAGATAGTGAAAGATTATGCTAAGGTCAGCAGACGACATCACTGCTTAGTGGATGACAGTGATAATACTGCTCGACCACAGGATGTTGATTTCCATTTCGGCACGGGCTCTCTCTCTCTACCGGCGTCGGCAGGTATCCGACATGTCTTTATTTTCCGCTCGTTGCAGAAGCCTGACACGGGTGGCGGTGGCGCCCCCCAGAGCGTTGGCGTGTCCGGAGCCTTCCTAGCTGACGTAAAGCCTCAGAGCGACGGTGTCAACGCGATCACCTACAATCTCACGACGGACATCATCGAGTCGATATTCAAGACATATCCAGCCGGTAAGCATAGCATGCCAGCCAATGCTGCATTCCTACATTTCTACTCATTTACTCTACTAGTCTCATGGTGAGCATCATATTGAAACTAATTCTAAAAGTGGTCTATGACAGCTAAGACTTTATCGAAGAACACTGATGAAGTTAGAACGGGTTGTGTTGTTCTTTGTTGTACAGTGAAGAATGCTGATGAAGTTTGAACGGGTTGTGTTGTTCTTCATTGAACAGTGAAGAAGAAACATCTGGAGAATGTTCCTCACAAGCTCAGTGAGAGTGAGTTCTGGACCCGCTTCTTCCAGTCGCACTACTTCCACAGAGATCGGCTCACTGCGGGCAACAAAGACCTATTCTCCGAGTGCGCAAAGAGCGATGACCAAGGTAACGCCTGAAGCTGGAGTGACCTTGAGGGTTGACCTTGGATAGACCAACAGCTGTGCCGGATTCCCTTGCGTCTAGAGAAGCCCCAGTGATTAACATAACCCATTGACTGGGCCTTTCCCATAGATCCCCCTCGGTAAATTCTGCCCTCCCCTCCTTAGCTTCTTATTCTTTTAACCATCCCGAGTTTTAAAGTGCCACAATTATGTTTTTTTAATTGAGCAAGATGAAGCTGAGGAAGTGCTTTCTCTGCTCTTGTGGCTCTTATGGAATTGGCTCGATATTATTTTGAAGTCTGTCCTGCATGTAGCGGCACATTAGTTTTCCATCATCTATGGTCATGTCTGCTTTTTGTTTCAGATTTGCTCGCGGAAGCGTGGAAAGTATCAGAAAATCCTCTGGTTGACATTGCCAATTTTTATGACGACCCTGAGGATGAGGTATGTCTCGCATTAATTCGGTTTTTATCGCTAGCTTAAGAGACGTAGGGTTAACGAGACAGAAGCGCATTAGTTTCAACTTGACAGCATGCTGCACCAAGTCTCCAAACTTGTCACTGCGTAGGTGAGTCTTCTAACTGCCATCAACTATGCTAAGTTTGCTGAAGAGCTTGTCAAAGATCGATTAATTTCTTGGCAGGGATATGGAGGGGCAGCTGTAGATAAAACATCAACCACCCACCAGGTGAATCAGAACATGATTCGCCGATTCAATCATCATTCGACGATGGTGCTGAAGACTGCCGACGACAGCGCCGGAAACAAGAGCACGCCCTCCGTATCCAACGGCAACACGACACTGCCTGCGGCGGCCATTTCCGAGGCATCGAACGGGTCGTTTGCCGATGATAGTTCATGCAGTAGCTGGGTGGTGGAGCCACCAGCAAATAAACGAGTAAGATACGACTTTGACGCTGCTTTTAAACTTGTCACCTCGACACATGCCTAGACAATTAAAAACTCTTAATAAATTTATTGCAAGCTCTCAGGAGGAGAGAGCAGTGTAGTACCGGGCTGGTGTACCAGCGCTTCTACCCTTGCTTTCGTATGAGTTGTAGAATATAAAGGAAGTTGCGAAAATAGTCCTGAAGTGCAAACCCTTTCCGAATGATTCGCACGGGTCCTGGAATATCTGGGAAGTCCTGTAAATAGTCCTGAAGTACAACCCCTTTCTGGATGATTCGCACGGATCCTGGAATACCTGGGAAGTCATGGAGTACCTGGGAAGTCTTGGAATACCTGGGAAGTCCTGGAATACCTGGGAAGTCCTGGAATACCTGGGAAGTCCTGGAATACCTGTGAAGTCGAATACCTGGGAAGTCCTGGAGTACCTGGGAAGTCCTGGAAATAGGAGGAATGAACCCTTGAACGTGTGTTTTTCCAGTCAAAGCTGATTGAGAAGCTGGAGTATGATGATCTAGAGGGCGAGGAGACGCGACGGACAGCACGGTTGAACCTCGTTAAGCGAGATCGTTACTACCACGGCCCGATGACGCTACAACGCGCCGAGTATCGCAGCAACGATGAGATCATCGCGAGTCTGCAGGCATTCACCGACGCCATCGCCGCATGGCAGCCCGCCCTGCCCGAGGTGAGCGAGCCGTCGCCGTGGCAACCGCGCGTCCCAGTGCAGTGCAACCTGCGCGACCTAATTCTTTTGTCCCCAAGTTGCAGTTTCTGTTACCCCTGACTTCTTTTAGAAGTTTCTCTTCTCTTAAGGAATTTATAGCAGAGCTTGTTAAATTCATTGTACCAATGTCAATGTGTGACACATTGACTGCATTGTTCTTTAGGTGTTGCCCAGCAGTATAGCAGTTGGAGTGATGGGAGAGCTGTCACCAGGGGGCGTCCTAATGCAGGGAGGCACAACTGATGCATTGCTAAATCGTGAGGACCGCTACTGTGACTGTGTGTTACACGTATTTTAAAATGTACCACGTGTTTCTTTTTGTAGTTGGTATGCTATTTTATTGTTATTGTAACAGGTGATAACAAGTATATAGCATTAGTATTTTATATTCTAAGTAAGTTCTTAAGTTCTCTTCTTAAGTTCTAATCTGTAATAATGTCATTGCTCCTATAGAAATGGTCTCACAACCCATCCAAAAAGACATGAAGGCAATTTACATTTCTCTGTGTGAACTTTTGAGGCATTTCTATGCTTGCTTTCCTGTAACCTCCAAGGCTCTCGAAGAAAAGGTACTTCTTTCTATTTCTATGTTATCCAATCGTATTTTCAAGGCATATCATTAAATAAAAATAAATCGGTGATTTTAGAGTAAAATTTATTATAGCCACTTAGATAAAGAACATTTTTAACAAACAATATAGCATAAAAAGATTTATAGCATCATTTAAGACAACGCTGTTTTATCTAAAACTATCTGCAGGTTGTTAAAATGAAAGGAACTCTGGATCGATTTCATATGGTTAAGATGCGACCATTCCAGGAAAGTGTGATGAGGCAGCATTACACTGTAAATGTACGTATGGCTTTTCTCCAAACTCAACTGTGTGCACAGCACCCCTATCTCGCAAGCTACCATTTCTCTTTCCCTTTATCTCTCTCTCTCTCTCTCTCTCTCTCTCTTTTCTCTTTTCGCTCTCTCCTCTTCTCTCTCTTCTCTCTCTCTCTCTCTCTCTTTCGTCTCTCATCTTCTCTTCTCTCTCCTTCTCTTTCTCTGCTTCTCTCTCCTACTCTCCGACCCGCTCTCTCTTTACTCTTTCTCTCTCTTTCTCTCTCCTCTCGTGCCCTCTTCCCACACCATCTTGAGTGCATCCTACCGACACTACCGTCGCTCCCCTCTTCTCTCTCTCTCTCTTCTCTCTGCTTCTCTTCTCTTCTCTCTCTTTCGCACTCTCTTCTCTCTTCTCTCTCGCTCTCTCTCTCTCTCTCTCTCTTCTCTTTCTCTCTCTCTCTCTCTCCCTCTCTCTTTATCTCTCTCTCTTTCTCTCTCTATCTCTCTCCCTCTCGCTCCCTCTCTCTCGCTCTCCCCTTTCTCTCTCTCTCCTTCCATTCCCCTTCTACTCGTCTCCCTACCAGCCCTCACTCCCTCGCTCTCTCTCTCTCTCACCTTGCGTCGAGGATTCCCTGATACTCCTCCAGCTGCCGCATGAAGGAGGGGTTCGGCCGCACGCACGAGCGCTTGTTCTTCACAAACCTCAGCCTGTCTATCTATCTATCTATCTATCTATCTATCTATCTATCTATCTATCTATCTATCTATCTATCTATCTATCTATCTATCTATATTCTGTCTTACATCTATCTATCTACTCTACCTTATCTCTCTCTCTCCTCTCTCTCTCTCTCTCTCTCTCTCTCTCTCTCTCTCTCTCTCTCTCTCTCTCTCTCTCTCTCTCTCTCTCTCTCTCTCTCTCTCTCTCTCTCTCTCTCGCTACATATATATAAAGTTGTCTGCGAATATCGTATTTGTTAAATCAGCAAACCTGCATTATTTGCCTCTCAGTGCTCATTAGTGGCAGTTGCCAGGTAATCAGCGTTGATTGCCGTTATTAAAATAGGGGGCGTGCGAGCCAGTTAGCTGTTTTCGCCGTCGACAAACAAACAATTGAAAACGATCGCGGAATCGAACGCGGGCATTGTGCTGCAACGTAATTGCTGTGTTTCAATGGCGAGCGTGCGCGACACGGCGCGAGGCAGCATGGCTGACGTCAGCTTCACGCATTGTTGCAGCTGACCGGTCATCTAGACGAGATGCTACAAGCAGCCTACAAGAAGTACGAGGCGTGGGAGGCGAAGAAGACAGGTGGGGGCCGGCCACGGTGATAGCGGACCTATATATTTGTACAAAACTCATTCGCCGCTACTTTTGATTATATACTATACGTGCGCGTGTGTGCGTGCGTGCGTGGGGGTGTGTGTGTGCGTGCGTGCGTGCGTGCGTGCGTGCGTGCGTGCTTGCGTGTAGGATGTGTGTTCATGTTCGTATGTATGTTGACATTTGGTCGTTTTTTTATATTTTTTGACAACATCAATGTTATTTCATTAACGCTTTCATGTCTGCTGTTATTTATAGACAGCGTAGAAATCATGAGACAGATAGCGAGATAGCGAATAAGAAAAATAGAGAAATAAACAATTATTATTGTTATTATTATTATTGTTATTATTATATAATAATGAATAAATCCACGTGAATAATGGCCGGCTGGTTTGAAGTGTTAAGTATTTTGTTGGGATGATGTCATGCAGACGCGTGAGGTCATCATGCTGTGAATTGTGGCGGAGGCTGTGAATGCCTCGTGAATGTATATTTCACTAATGAGCCATGGAGCCCCTGGTCGCCCGTGGTAACGAAATCAACAACTCGTTGTTATTCATCTTGCCAGTGTCTTTCGCAATTACAATGTAATAATATTAATTTTAAAATGTCTTTCGCGAGGACTGAATGATCTTTAGCGACTGACGTGAGCCAAGGTGAGCTATATTTGCTGTAGCTATAGTACTAGAGCTATATTTGCTGCTATAATTTCTCACTAAAATTTGTTGATGAAATTGGAAACGCAACGCAAAAATTCGCATGAAAGTCGATGCAAAACGAAATGCACCTTAAAAAAATTAGGCGTTTTCATTATAACGATAATTGCTAGATGGAAACCACGCATCGAATCACGCAAACGTTTAAATATAGGGGCTATCTCGCGCTTAACTCTACACCGTCCCACCAGCACACACCTATTACAACACCGTGGGCGAACGCTGGAATATCACCTGCTGAAATTGCCGTGTGCTCTGTTACCATCATGCATACTCGGTCGCTTGGCTACGAGCGATGTCGCTATGCATAAGTGACGTAGGTACTTCTAGAAGGATAGGAGAGAACGAGGAACTGGCTTACAGTCGGACTCGAAGGTGCAGTGCGAGCGGAGCTGTGAGAGCCAGGTCAGAGTAAGTATGCTTTCTGTTGTGTGTGCGTGTGCCTGTGCGTGTGTGTGTGCGTGTGCGTGTGCGCGCGTGCGTGCGTGTGTGTGTGTGTGTGCGTGCGTGCGTGCGTGCTTGTGTGTGCGTATGGCTAGTGTGCGTGCGATGTAAATTGCTTGTATGTCCGCTACGCCGCTAGGATGCTGTGCAATATATATATATAGAGAGAGAGAGAACGTAGGAAGCGCAGAGAGACAGCTCCAAGAAATGCACACGTGTTTTATACGATAGGCATACGTAACACGCAAGCCTACAGATACATGCGACCACGCGCACGCACACACACGCACGCACGCACACACGCACGCACGTACGCACGCACGCACACGCGTCCAGTTTTAAAGCCGCGCCGGGCTAGCAGAGAGTTTATGACTGTTATGGCTTAACAGTATGTGCAATTAATTAAATTAAATTTTTAATTTAATTAATAAGTTGTATCTGTCACGACGTGGAATAGAAATGGTAGTACTTATACGTGTTTCGTTATGTGTCCTTTTATTTTGCCGATGTTCTAGATCGGTGTGATTGACAGTGTGAAGGCATTCCGCTTTATGCTGCTGATCACACCACATATCAGAGGTTTATTATGATTATTATTAAATTATTATTGCATGTAATTCAAATACATACACATTTACTGAAGACGGTCTTTTTCATGGAGAAAGAATCTGATTGATGCAATAGTGTGCAATTCATCGAGTAGCTAGCAGTGCACTTGTTTGAATCGTGTCACTGAAAAAAACATTAACGAATGTTTTGCTGTTACTCATACAGAGAACAGGAAACTAACAAGAGACAATCAAATCTGAAAAGGAAACAGAAACAGAGAGGAAGAGAGAGGGGGATATAGCGAGGAGGCGAGATGCGTTACATTGGTCTGTGGGTGCTTCTCTGGATGGTTGCCAGCTTACTAATCAATGCACGTCGACACCCTCGACCAACGCCATCAAAGCCGAACAAGGCCGAGGCGGTGTTCGAGCAGCCACTAGGCGCTCCGGTATATTGCACCGAACAATATGTGTTTGCTTATTGCCACTTCTGGTTGAAATGCGTGAATAAATCGGATACCATATCCCTGCATTTAGATTGTACAGTGTTGCATTTAGTTAGTGCATTTTTT